CGCAAAAGTAGATAAGTAGGCCATTAAAACGATTATGAGACTGAACTTGTAACAAAGGTATAATTTACAAATTGTAAGTAAACTTGAAAATAGAAAAAAATAATTTTTAACGAGTCTCCAAATATTAGGTACATAAAAAACGGCGAAAAGACACTGGGTGACTTCGTTTTGCAACCGAGGTGATTGTAGGCCCTCGAAAGATCTGAATAAAACCCAATTTCGAAACATCGAAAATGGCCAAGTTTTTTGGAAATTTTGCAGGAATTTATTGGCTGCCTTCTCCAATTAATTGTATCTCTTATCTCATCGCAAAAGTGCTAAACAGTCCACTCGGTTCATTTCCGCCTAATCCCCGAGCAATCAATGTAAATTCAATAATAAGTGCCGGCAACAAAGTTGTTTAGTGCAGCCCCAGGGCTCTTAGTTCATCCCTTTTGTAAAGTTCCGACCGTTCGCCACAATCGGCAATCTTTGGCCGACAACGTTGCAAATTAGTTGGACAAAACTCTTTGTCCAACCGTGAATTAGGGTGCGTTGTCCAAACGGAAGCAAAGTGTGTTTGAATAACGCGGCATCGTTTTCCGAATTTCGATCTTCCGAATTACCTCCATAATGGGGATTTAAATGTTTGTTTGCTTGGGCATTAGTCGAACCCACCCATTCACTTGTACTTCATTCAAATCCAATAGAAATAAACTTGCGTTTTTTGGCTAAAGAAATTCATCGATTGGTGATGATTTGATCATAAACTGATGGTAGGAGAAAAGTGTTGAGAACGAACCCAGTGATCTCTAAAAACATTCATCCAAATTTTCAAAAAAGCTATTTTTTCGATGGACTTTAACAGCAGAGGAGCGGGGATTTTTTCCTCAGTAAAAGTTGAAATTGAGTCAATTGAGTAAAATTGGCTTAGACCGATGCCAGTAATCAATCAAACATCAATTAATTTCAGTCATTTTCAGGAAGGTTTCAAGAATTTTGGAAAATCGACTCCGCTTTTTGCAGGCCGGTGAAAAACTCAATTTTGGATGCATTTTGCAGAGCAAAGTCTCTCCTATGAGTGGATAAAGTTTCGATTTTCAGTCACCATCAGACAATCACACGTCTCGCCTGCACAAAATTGCGTTTGGTTTACTCCGTGTGCTTCTATATGTATTTTTTGTAGCGCTGTGTACGTATGTTTCATAAGTGGCAAAATTTTGATTTTCGTCTCGGTTCAAGAGTTTTTCAAAATCGCGTTCAGTTTTCATTGTGGCTTTGCAGGCCGAAGTCTAGCATTTATTTCATGTGAAACCCGACAAGAGGCAATATTTTCTCATTCAAACTACCTTCTATAAGGGTTCAAAGTTTTAAATTTGTCATCATCAGGCAATATTTGTCATTTTTTCAAAATTTTTAGGGTACGAGGTAATTTTTGAAAGCCGGAGTTTGGGACTCATTTATTCAAAAACCAGTTCAAATTAGTTTGTAGGCCAAAGTCTGTTCTAGAAGCGTAAATAAGTTATAATTTTCAGTCATTATCGGCCTTGTTTGTAATAAACAAAAGGTAAAAGCTTGACTAATTTTTTCATCACATTTGCAGCCCAAACTCTGTTCTAATAGTAGAAAACGTTTCGATTTTTAATTGTCCTCAGGGAATGTTCAGGAATTGTTTCAAATTTTGTTTGTTTTTTTTGGGCTGCTTATTTATGCCGAACTTTAACCGTTATTTCCACATCAACCAGTTGCTTAGGGTGATCTTTGTAGATATTTTATGGTGTTTAGTTCGTTTTATTTGACGACGATTTATTTTTATTTTAAAGACGAACATTTTGATTTAGAGCCATTGTTAGGAAATTTTCAAGATTTTTTTAAACCGCGTCTGATTTTTGTGGCGGTTTTTGCAGATCCAAATTTATTTCCTGTGTGTATTTCCTAACTTTTGTTAGGCATTTTGTAGGGCAAAGTGCCTTCTATAAGTGAACAAAGTTTCGTTAGACGTTCGTTAGGTTTATTTTTTCAGGCCGGAGTTTCAAATTGATTTGTTCTGAAGCTCCAGAAGCAAAAAAGTAAATTTTGGATGCATTTTGTAGGGCAAGGCCCATTTTATAAGTAAACAAAGTTTCGATTTTCAGTCATCATCAGACAATCTATATGATTTTTTGAAAGTTGCGTCGGGTTTATGAGGTTTGATTTTGCAGGCCGGAGTTTAAAATTTATTTCCTCTGAAGCTCCAGAACTAAAAACACCAATTTTTGATGTATTTTATAGCGTAAAATCCCTTCCCAAGTGCACAAAGTTTCGAATTTCGGTCATCATCAGACAATCTATGTATATTTTTCAAATTTGTGTTGGAATCTCGAAGTTTGTTTTTGCAGAGTAGAGTTTCAAAATTTTTTTCCCTGAAGCTGCAGAAACTAAAAAGTGGATTTTGGATGCATTTTGTAGGTCAAATTCTCTTTCATAAGTGAACAAGGTTTCGAGTGTCACTCGTCATCAGAAAATATATGTATTTTTTTCAAAATTGCGTTGGGTTCACGAGGTTTATTTTTGCAGGCCGGAGTTTTAAATTGATTTGTTCTGAAGCTCCAGAAGCAAAAAAGTAAATTTTGGATGCATTTTGTAGGGCAAGGCCCATTTTATAAGTAAACAAAGTKTCGATTTTCAGTCATCATCAGACAATCTATATGATTTTTTGAAAGTTGCGTCGGGTTTATGAGGTTTGATTTTGCAGGCCGGAGTTTAAAATTTATTTCCTCTGAAGCTCCAGATCTAAAAACACTAATTTTTGATGCATTTTATAGCGTAAAATCCCTTCATAAGTGCACAAAGTTTCGAATTTCGGTCATCATCAGACAATCTATGTCATTTTTTCAAATTTGTGTTGGAATCTCGAAGTTTGTTTTTGCAGAGCAGAGTTTCAAAATTATTTTCCCTGAAGTTGCAGAAACTAAAAAGTTGATTTTGGATGCATTTTGTAGGTCAAATTCTCTTCCATAAGTGAACAAGGTTTCGATTGTCACTCGTCATCAGGCAATCTATGTATTTTTT